TTATAATAAAAGAAAGTTTAAAAATTATAATTTAATATATATTATTTTCAGTTTTTTTAGATTTTTCTAAAAGAGTTATACTAATTATAAAGTTAATATAAAAATTTTTATATTAACTTTTCAATTTTTATTATATTTTATTAATAAATTTAATCTTTGAGTTATTATTTTTAGTTGTTGCTATATAATAATTATTAAAAGTAATTTATTAAAAAGAATTAAATTTATTAATAATAAATTATTTTTATAATAATAAGTTAAATTTATTAATAAAATATAATAAAAATTAATTTATAATTTAGATTTTTCTAAGAGTTATTTTAATAATAAAGTTATTATAATATATTTAACTAGAAAAAATTTTTGAATGACTTTATAATTAAAATAACTTTTTATAAAAAAATTTTAAAAAATCTGTAGAAATATATAAATTATAAACTTTAATTTGATATAAAAATATTTATTGATAAAATTATAAATTTTATATAAATAATTTTAATTTATATATTTTATACTATAATTAATTTCTAATATATTATTTTAATTAAATAAAATTTATAATTTATAATTTAATATATATTTTTTAATTTTTTAAAAAAATTATTTTTATTATAAAATCATTATAAAATTTTTTTTAATTAAAAATAAATTTTTAAAAATATTTATTAATAACTTTATAATTAAAATAATTCTTTTAAATTAATTTAAGAATTTAAAAAAATATATATAATAAAAGTTTCTAATTTATTTTTTATAATAAATTCTATAATATTATATTAAAATTAAAAAAATTAAGCTTAGAATTTATAAGTTTATTAAAAATTAATAATAAAATTTTAAAATTAATACTTTTTAAAATTATATATTTTTAGCTTATAAATAATTACTAAACTTAATAATTAAAAAGATAATCTTTTTTTAATTAAATATTATTTATTTATTTTAATAATTATATATTTTAATTTAAATAATTTTTTATTAAATATAAATAATAATAATAAAAATAGGTTTTATTGTAATAATTTTTATAAATTTATTAATAAAATTTTATTTTTAATTAGTAATAAAAAAATCTTTTTTCTTTAGAAATATATAAAATTTTAAAAAATTTTTATAATAAAATTATGAAACTAAGTATAAAATAATTTATATATTTTTAATAAATTATAAATGAACTTGCAAATTATAAATTATATTAATTAACTATATTTTATAATTTTATTTTAGCTTAAAAACAACAGAAAAAAAGTTTTGAATTAATATATAAAAATAAATTTAAAAAAATTTTAGCAGACAAATTTGTTTTGTTAGATAATTTAAGAAATAAGAAAATTAATAATTGTTTCATTAGTAAAAATTTCTGAAAAAGACAAATATATGAAATTTAAAATATATATTTATTGTTATTAAGTAATTATATTTATTAAAATTATTTTTAAAAAATATTTTATAAAGTAATTTTAAATAAACTTATTCTTTACTATTAAAATTATTTTTTTCATTTTATAGTTGGTTATTGAATAAAAATAATACACTATATAAAGATAAAAAATATTTATTAGTAAAATTATAAATTTTAATATAGGAAAAATGGTTCAATTTCTGCTATATTTATTATTATATTTGACTCTCTGATTCATGGATTTTTTCTTTACATTAATTATATATTAATGTAAAAGACTGATATTTTATAAGTTTTAAATTAAATATTTAATTAGTACACTATTATAATAGTATTTAAATTAGGATTAAAATCAAAATTAAAATTATATTGCATATAAAGAATAGTAAAATTTTGCAAGAAGTATTTATTATTTTAATTCCATATTAAAATGGAAGTAGTTATATGGTAATATTTCATGCAATTTGATAAGTTTACCTCTTAAATTCACATGATTCGCTTTTTTTGCCATGCGTTATTTTTTGCAGTCCACTGTTTTTTTCACGTTAAAAAAAGCTTGACTTGAATACAAAAATTTTTTTATAAATAATACGAATTCTAAAGAAGCTATCAAACTTTTTATTGATAAAACGCTATTGAACAATTAATATACGTGGTTAAGTTATTTATAACGATAATAAAACAATGTTACAACTAACTTAGTCATATGACAGTCAGTATGGATACTAACCAGTGTTGATAAGCATTGGTCCGTTTAATTATACATGAACTATATCTGTCTATTGGCTCTCGATACAAGAAAGGTGTTCGGGTATATAGTGAAAAATTTACAAATCTTTCTTATATCAAGAGTTTATTAGTAATTTTCTTATAGTAAGTGAATTTATTATAAACTTTGAGCTCAACATTTTTCTATCGAATTTTAATTATACATGTATTGAGAGTCACTTGTAACAGAACATTGAACATCGGATACCTGTACATGTAGTATCACGTCTAAATTTTCATGTAACTGAACCAATGAAAACACCACACAATAAACATAGAGAGCAATCATTACAATTTTAAAGAAATAAATAAGTATATATATAACGATATGCTAATTTTATAACCAAGTTGCCCAAAATCACTCGAGACATTCAAAAAGATAGAATACAAATTTTGCCACAGTCAAAAATCCTTTTATCAACCTTTTAGATTAACGTGAAAATGGAAGCTAGCATGATTGTTTAATATTGTTTAATTATCATTTTATATGTACATTCGTTGGAACCGGCAATGATTTATATATATGCAAAAATCGAAATAAAATTTCTCTATATTAAAATGTTCAAATTTTTAATAAATAATTTTTATTTTTATATTAAATAAAGATAAGAACCTATACCTTGACATATATTTTTTCAGATTAATTTGAGAAATTTTTCTTATAGTAAAATGATTTCATAATTAAAATATAAATTTGATTATAAAAATTTTCTCAAATTAAATCTGCAAATTAAAAAAATATATGTCAAGGTGTAGGTTCTTATCTTTATTTTAATGCAAAAATAAAAATTATTTATTAAAAAATTTGAAAATTTTAATATAGAGAAATTATTTCGATTTTTACCATGTTTTATATATGTAAATCATTGCCGGTTCCAACGTACACGCTACTTTATCATTACATGTATGTCGCTTGAAATAAACTTAAATAGCATCCATTCAGAATTGTCATTTGTAAATCATATACATGTAATTAACTCTTTTAACTTTTTAATCTAATTAACTTTAAAAGAATTCATTCAAAAAAAAATACTCGTTTGTGTATTTATTTTGTTTTTGTTCTGCCAAAAAAAGGCTATGTATCGATATGGTCATGTAATTACCACATGAACAAATTCACTTTGTGTGTGAGTTTGTTATTTATTTTATTTGAAGTAGATTCTATGTTTTGAATAATATTGAGGCGCTTTAGAATATTTCATTTGTGAGATTGTGTAATGCATGCGACTTTGTAACCTGATCCCTGAGTTAATCAACCAACTTGTGGAGTTTAAAGACCGTGGTTATACATACACAGAATTGGTGTTCATTGCACGGAATTCGGAATTATCATTCTAGCCAATCAATTTGCAGAAATGTATATTTGAACAATCTGAGATAAAAGTACATGTATTACTTATGTATAAAGTTTTGAATGCTTTCGTTAAAAATTTCTTTTTTTGTATTAAATTCCAAAAAAGACATTCGCAAAATAAATGGACGTACAATTTAATGAATATAAACGAGCAAATACATGTAATGACGACGATCGATTATATAAGAAATTAAACGTGAGTAATTCTTTGTTTCTTTCCCATTTACCGATAGAATTTATCGTTAGGCTGTATTCACCATTTAAGAAACAGGTTTTCTATTGTTAATAATTTTTCATGAAATAGTAATGCACATATTTATAACTTTTATCATGAAATAGTAATGAAATGATTATGATTTTTAATATTATTTAATTTGTGCTATTAAAAAAAATGATATAAAGGATTAGGATTTTAAATTTTTCCCTTCTTGGATAGTCAACAAATAATAAATTTGACAGCTACTAGATCAAAATGTCAGATCAAGCTGAGCCTTATACTGTCAACACCAACGATCTATCATTGGCTGTAGATACAGCAGAGGAAATTCAACTGCGATGTCGAAACATAGATGATTATCGACCTCAATTCCCTCCTGATTTAAACCTCAATGAGTTGGTCAATAAAACCAAAAAACCGCCCAATCATTTTTTAATTTACCGTAAAGCCGTATGGAATCGAGCTAAGGCCCTCAACCATAAATTGTCCATGAGCGAAGTATCAAACATTTCCTCGAAACTATGGAAAAAAGAAGAATATTCTGTCAAAGAGGCGTATAAAGGATATTCTTCTCAAATGTATAAAATCTGGAAAGAAAAATATCAAATGGATTCTATCGTTATTTATCGAGGTAATATGAGAAAAGCCAAAAAAATGCCACGTAAAAAATCGCCTTACAAAACTAAAAGAAAACTGGGAAGAAGTCAACAATCATCATTACCAGCCCATCCAGTTCAAAGTGACGTAAACCAAGGTGACGCAAACGAAAATACCGCAGAAAATAATCCATGTATTGCTGAAATAAGCAATACTGGTGAAGTTGGATTTGAATTTAATACTGAACCAATGCCTGCATTTGATACCTATATTCCTCAGAATCAACAATATTGTGGTTTTCCAGATTCTCTGAGTGAGTTAGACCTTAGAAGTTTATCCTCATTATTTAATTAATGCCACAGGATATTTCTACTCTAGTTAAAATTATATTAAATACTGTAATTTCTATTTTGATAGTATGAAACTAAATAGAAAGTTTTGCTTGTGATTATATTTTTCCATCACTGCCTCTCTAATTAAGATATTTTTCATTTGTTTAAAGAGGTTCAAATGATTAAGTTAAACGCGCGTATAATGGTTTAATGTAAATGTGAAATGTGAAAGATTGATATTTATATGTTCTGTAAAAATCACTAATTATGAAATTAAAAATAAAAAAACTTTTTTTTTATAGCGACCTGTATACCGGATCCTTTCTGCATATAAGAGTGAAATTTTCCGGAACGTCATATATTCGTTATAACAGCCAAAAATGTCAGAACAATGACTATACATGTTATTAACTATTTTAATAACTTAATCACCCATGGAATTTTCGTTTGATTCTTATTACTCGTTATTATCTGCTATAATCTTTATTCTCTATTCCATTATATACAGATACATTATTTTTTGCCGCTATATTAAGGTATTTAGAAGCAAATATTTATTCACGCTATTAAATTAGTTTATTTACATCCTATCAGATAGAAAATTAAAGACAACAATCAATTATATTTTAACATCAGTTTGGATTGTTTTTATTTGAATTAAACATTTTTAGATGTCATAAATTTCCACAAGAAAATTAATTATACGAGTGAGACTGATAAAGAAATACGGAAGTTAAGAAAAACAATTAAAGGAGAATAAATTCCGATAAATTTTCTATAAAAAGAATTTTGATCATGGGAAGCAAAGAAAACAATTTACACGCAGTAATCGGCTATTGTGGCTGAAGCATTGAGATAAGCATAATCAAGAACCAATGAAAATTCAATATCCGATATCGAAAGTTCTTTTGATGACGCAAATGTGGCACATGGTACATACCAGCCACAATATAGTTATGAAATGATGGCGTATGTGAGGCGTAAGGTGCATACCAGCCACAATAATAATTGTGCCATCCGACGCCATTGATCTACCATAAAGAGTAAAGGTTACATTTTATCGATATCCATTTATAGCTAATTTGTGACAATGACATGATTTCGATAATATCAACTTTCTAAACTAAATTCGAATAAGTTACCTTTGTTTACATGTAAGAATTTTTATTTTAATTGCTATAGTGCATTCAAACAAAGGGAATTTTCATATTGAACACGGATACACTTTAGGAAAGTTTAATTATCATTAACCGTATACCTTATACAAAAAACCGTCACACGCGAACTAGTGAACCATTCTTTATCAAAACATGCACGAAATTTGTCGCATTTCTCGTGCTTAATATTGTTTCCGCTATTCACCGTTCCGTTTTTATGTTCTAAGTGGTTCTCGCGTTTACTTTATGCTTTAATGGTTATGCATTTAATTAACAGCGCGGAAGATTCATTCAAAAATGCCTATTTAAAAATGCGAGATTTAATCCTTTTTTTTTCTATTTTAATTTCTCACATTTTTCGTTTACAAAATATAGCAAAGAAATCTTCAAACAAAGCTTCAATTCTTAACTAAATTTAGTTGGCCATAAACTACAGTACCTCATTTCCAACATAAAAGAACTGCAGCAATAAATATAAATTATAAAGCCAATAAACAAGAGTTTTCCAATTGTTGACTAGTGAACACAAAGAAAATTAATGAATGAGCTGTACATATATTCTTCTCATATGTTTGTATCGGTGTGACAGATTACTTATCGTCTTTGGTGGTATCATGATTTCCATGATTCTCACTTGAAGGAGACAAAAGCAATTTTAGTAAACATCATACATAATAAACATGATGTTTTTAAGGGAGTATCGGAGTGAAAACTCAAAATCGGGTATTATCCAACAAGTGACACCCCAAATCAATTTACATGTAGTTCAACGTGTACAAAGTGACACAACTTTTTATAGGCGATTGGCAATCTAAAAACAAATATAAGAAGGTAAATTATAACTTTCTGAAGAATCTTAAGTTGTCAACATAACAATTAATTCATTCAATCAATAAACAATCAAATTCATTCAATAAATAACCTAGAAAACATTTTAAATCCATATAAATTATAAATTTCATCGATGGCGTCATTTGATGATAATTATACTTTTATTAATAATAATAATCATCATCATCATCATCATCATCCTCCTCCTCCTCCTACTCCTACTCCTCCTCATCATGATAATAACAATAATCATGATTTTGACCATAATAATAATAATAATAATAACAATAATCATGATTTTGACCATAATAATAATAATAATAATAATAATAATAATAATAATAATAATAATAATAATAATAATGATAATGATAATAATAATAATAATAATAATAATAATAATAATAATGATAATAATGATGATGATAATAATGATAATAATAATAATAATAATAATAATAATGACGATGGTAATAATTATAATAATAATATTGATGATAATAATGATAATGATGATAATGATAATAATTATAATAGGATAAATAATGATCAAATAACCAAAAGAAAAAAGAAACAAAAAGGCACAAAAATCACTCGAAGCGGCAATGATAATATACAAACGAAAGCACCAATCAAAGTAACTGTCCCTTCTCCTGAAGAGTTAGATATCAATGAATTTTTGCCAAAGGGTAAAACGAGTAAGAAAACACCCAACTCGTATTTTATCTATCGAAAAGTCTATGTTGATGAATTACGTAAACTTGGATATAAATCTAAAATGATTCGTGTTTCTTCATGGAGTGGAATTGCTTGGAAAGAAGAAACTCGAAGTGTAAAATCAGCTTACATTCAATTCGCACATAAATTATCGAAACTATATGAAAATCGATTAAGAGAAGAAAGAGAGCGCAAACGAAATGAACCAATTAAGATAATCGAATTTCAACCTGATGCTATAAGTAACAATGACAATAAAGGAGAAATAGCAAAAACGGAAACGGGGATTACTATAAATAATCAAATTTCTCCAGATATTCCATCGATAGACGATCAAGAAGCTACTATGGGGGCAATAGAGACCACAACAGCAACAGCATCAACATCAACATCTCTTCCCATCCCCATTTTTAATAATATAGAAGAACTCGCTTCTCCAATTAATAATAATCTACTAATTAACCCCTATCCAGACGCACTTCTTTTCGTTCCTTTTTATTCTCAATATAATCAAGACACATCCTTAAATCAGGACGATTCATATAATGAACCATGGTATGATTAGTATAAATAAATTGTATGTAATATATATTTATATTGTAATATTTAATAGTTTGGTTTAGTATAAAAGTAGAATAGCAAATAAAAATTACAAAATATCTTATAGATGAGCTCATTAAGAAGTAATAAATTGATAAAAGCAAGATAGATATTTATTTTTAGTCTGCAGTAATTCATGTATTAAGATTTTATTTGCGTTTTGAACTCCGTCATTCAACGTAAAAGTATCAGTCAATGTTATCAAAGGAAATACGTAAGCTTCTATACAAAATATAAAAAAAAGGAGGTACGTAATTCTCTAAACAAGTATAAAAAAAATTGTAAAAAAATTTACCGTGTTACATTTAGTTTGCACCGCCACCACACTCAGCCATACTGCAGTATCTAAATTTGGGTCAAACGGCCGTAGTGCAGATCAAATTTATACGGAACTTTTATTCCGGATTCTTTTAATATTTTTTCAATCAATTATACAGAATGGGAAATAGTGAAAATATATTCTGAACAAGCAAATTCGTAACTTTTTAATTGATTTCTCCTGTTTGCCCTGTATGTGAGGTCGAGTATATTCAATATAACGAGAAAATTTTAATATAATTATCGTTGCCGTATATAAATATACAGTGATAATCAACGTTAATTTGAATAAAAGTTTGTTTATAGCGTAACAAATTAATACTTTAATTAATATATATAAACAAGGCAAATTATTCATTGACGTTATCTATTATGCAAAGTAGTAACAACTCAAATAAATAAATAAATAATAAAGGTTTTGGAAATTAGATTAACAGGAAACCTTGTTTATAGTCTTATTGATCATCATCTGCGGTGATTTCTTTAATTTCATTTTGCTAAATTTAAAATGATAAAATCTTAAGCTGTTAGAATCTGCATAAAGAGAATATTCTATGCATAATACAGCCAATACTCTTATAACGATCCCTTTTTAAGTATCCCCTTTTAAACAACCTTCTCATGAAATTTGGAAAATCCATATATCCTGTTATATAATAAACTGGTGATTCCTAAGTACATGTATACTACATGTATAATGCATGCACTATATATACATGTACATCCTCCCTAATCCAAACTCTGGCTCAATCCTAAAGTTTATAAGGCCTCTAATTATTTATTTACTATAAATACATACCCATTCTAAATTCACGCACATTTTTAAATAGTGTTATAGTCTCTATAGGTGGTACACTTTAGTGTAATTAATTCAATAAATGTATTGGGGGGTGTGAAACAGAATTATCGCATATGTGACGATTTTAGACGTAAAGATTAAACAATACTTACTTTGTTTAGGCATTGATATCAATTGCCCTAATTACATAAGTTACAATTGTCTCTGGAACATCAATTTGATTCTCAATCTTTCTGATCGAATTTTTTAGACAATTATGAATTTTCTATTGAGATAAACTTATGAAATTCATTAAAACTGTTCGTCATAACAAAACCGAAAATTCATATCTGGGAATTACGCCAATTCCAAATTGAAAAATTCTAATAAAATAGGTTTTGGAGAAACATAAACAATTACAATAATCAAGTTATCAAAGAAATAAACAGATAACTCATGAGAAATGACAAAAATTTCAATAATATAAAACATTTCGACTATACAATATCCAAAAAAAAGCTATCGATATCAATTCACAAAAAATAACAAGGATTATATTGCTCAAATTACAAGGTCAGTTTACCCATAATTTTGCAAGAAATTGAATGGTAAATTTCACATTTGACACATTTCTGAATTTTTTCTTTGAAACTCGAATAGATCAATAATCTAGTACATGTACTTCACAAGTGGACAACTATTTTTATGCTCGTATAGGATCGATTAACAACTTTTCCTAATAATTTTGGAAGAAAAAACTAATTGCTTACTTGTCATTATTTCGAAAATATATGGCAATATTGAGACAGAATTAATGGTAAAAAAAACTTAAATTTTTACTATGATATTGACCAGGTAAAAATTAACACTTTTATCAGCGCGAGTTACTATGATAAAATGTATTCAAGAATATGACTGAGAACTTTATATTATAGAGACTGGACTGATAGTATAATATAGCATATAGGTTGAAAAAAAAGAGTGGTTGTTTATCTTTGCGTAGCACTGAATTTCAAGAGAACTATTTAATTCGTGTGGCTTTTTAAACTCGCGTTTGTTACCTCTCTAGAATTCAAGCTAATTTACAGTATACTACTGTACTCTATAACAATAAGACATAAATTGGATCCGGTTTTAAATATAGACCAGATAGAGCGGATCAAAGTGCTAATTCATATCTTTCTATACGATAAGAAATATGTACATGTATTAGGGTTTCACTGCAACCAATACATGTACTAACAAACATGTACATGTAATCTCTTTGTTGCACTTATTGATAAAGAAGAGATGTTTTTTATAACGAACTATCAAAAAGGCGTATAAGTTTTGATAGAGAAGGTAATTCGTGAATGATCAATACCAGTATTTCCTGGATATAAAAGATTGCACCGTAAAATGATGAAAAGGTTGATATTTCAAAATGTGCGTAGTCTTTGAGTGGCTATAAATAGCTATACAATAGGTCATACTGCCAATTCTATTTATTTTATGATGATTACGCTGGTTCTGGCGTCATTTATTTATTGTATACCTAAGTAGTTCTCGTCATCATTGAGATAAAATTTAAGATCGGCAGTTTGATCTGGTCCTGTTATACAAGATTATACTAACCGGTGAATTTGTTACACTTTCGAAGTTCCCATGCATTGTGATATAGTACCTGCAGATATCGAATAGAAAACTATGGTATTTCAATCCAGCACGTTTTTTCGTAAAACAGAAAGGAGAATAAAACAAAAGGGTGATGATATTTGCAATCTGTTGATTGTTATGTCGTGCATATACATGTATATAATCACTGTTTCAGCAAGTTAATATATGCGGCTTGATAAAACGGTACAGTGCCGCCGTAATTTACAATATCATGCGTCTATTCCATTATAAAATTCACATTCGATAGTGTTTATTTTGGAAAGTACATTAAAAAAGGCAAGCACATAAAATTGCAAGAAATGATACAGAATGATACGTGTGCATGTGAAACATTCCATATACATGTACTTAAGTTAAAAATTATCTATTAGAAAATAAAATTTTCATATATAACAAACAGTATATATTTGACTAATTATAATTAATAAAAAAATTCAAGTATCATATTATTTTTGATTGACAATATATGAAATTTTTATTATTTAAATAATAATTATTTTTTTATAAATTTTTATTTAAATACAAAAAAAATATTACCATCGCTCCCAAATTACCATTTTGAATAGCACACAAATGACCATTTTTTTCCTTTTTATTATTAGGCATGTTATTGGTTTTGCACTAGATTTATGCAGAATTGAACGTGCTTTTTAGTTGTAATAAATATTACAAATATTTATTATATATAAAAAAGTTTTTCTAATAACAATTTAAGATTGTTATATTACACTCTCTATTTTATATATTTCAATATTTAAATTTTTAAAATATCATTTAAAAAATCTTATTAATATTTCTTATAAATTTGAATTTAAATTCAAAAAATTTTTTAAAGCATATTTTTTTATTTTTTTAAATTAGCAACATAAAAATTGATATTTTATCAGCTTTTTCTAATTATTTTTTCTAAATTAAATTTTTTTAAAATAAAAATAAATAGAGAAAATAATATCAATACAATTTAATAAATTAATTTTAAATTATCTTTTATAAAAATTAATATATTTATAAATACTATCTTATTAAATTATAAAAAATTTTTAAATACTGATTTTTTTCATATATAAATAAATAATTAATTTTATTAAATATTAATTAATAATATTTTTAATTTTATATATAATTAAAATTTTTAAAAAACTTAAAAATCAAAAAATATATTAAAATAAAAAATTATAATTTTTTTTATTAAACTAAAAAATTTTTAATTTTTATATAAATAGAAAATATATTTTTATTAATCAAATTGTTAATATTTTATTTTTTATTATTATAAATATAATAAATTAATTATACTTATAATAATAATTAAAATAATATATTAAAAGATCAAATTTATTAATAAAATATAATAAAAATTGTAATTTTTTCTTATATTAAACTTTATAATTTATTAAGAAATAGTTTTTATTTTTATATTAAATTAAAATTTATTATTTATAATTTAATATATATTTTTTTAGATTTTTAGATTTTTTTGGAAAGATTTTCTTATTATAAAGTTATTATAAAATCTATATAGTAGCAATTAGTAATGGAAACTGCAACTAGCTATAACTCTGTCATAATTTTCTGATTAACTATCACAACTCTATCATAATTCTCTGATTAGCTATTGCAAGCTATAATTATTTGAAAAGCTATCTTAGTAGTAACCAAAAGTAATAACTCAGGAAATTTTCTTTTTATATCAAAATTTATAATTTTAATAAGAAATAATTTTTATTTTTATATTAAAATAAAGTTTATT